TTGCCCTCTTAAAAAAAATCAAATGGTTTTAAACTAAAGACACTGGGTCTGATTTATAAAGAGATAAGGGAAGCCCTTTTTCTGCTATGCAGATCTCAGCTGTTTCCCCACAAACGTTGCTGAGCAGTGCCAAGGGATCAGGCATATTTACAAGAGAACTCATTAAAAGCAAAGGAAAACGAAGTCCTTTCACCTTTTACAGGGTGCCCTGTAGAATCTCCTAGGAAATGACAGACAGTGCACTTCCTAAAGGAACACACACAACGTTGTATTGCAACAGAACTCCTATTAAAGTCTCCTATTACTCCTGTTTTGGCTCACTGTTTTAACCCTACTTCCCGTTACATAAAATAGAAACATCCTGGCATTGTGGTTCCCTTTTCGTCATTAATTCTAGAAATAGGCCAGAACCTAATCCCCTCCAAATTTCAGGTGGAGTTGATCTAGAATTCCTAGATTCATGACTGGCACAAGGGTTTTTGGTGACCTACACGAGCTCTGACTTTGGCAGCACCCTCTCTCCGCTTCATTCAATATAGAGAAAAATGAGAAGTATAGAATGAAATTGTATCTTTATTTACTTGGCATTAGAAATGAACAATGTAAAAATAAAAATAAATATTATTATTGATTTTTTTCAACTTTTCATTAATTCTAACACAATCATACTGCATGGGGTAAACTGCCCAGTAGCTGACATTTTAACCATTTTGAGTTGCACACAGCGTTTCTGGTCAGCTCTATGAAATGTTGCATTTTAAGCTGCAACTGTCTTCCTTCCAAAGGAACTGATTTTTGGGAAGCTATAAAAATCTTTATTCCTTCATACTGAATGAAGTCTGTTTTTCAGTTGTAACCCTTTTGCAGGGCTTTACTATTACATTAATAGTAATCGTGTAAGATAAATACACAATCTTAATCTCATAAGTAGATGTGATTCTCCTTTTACAATCTTGTTATAACCTCTTACCAAATTTTTCAAGTCCAACACAATTCAAATTATTCATGGGCACAGCACCTTTAGGATCACGGCTCATAAGATGGCAGAACAGCAGTTGTGGGTTGCTGAATGGCCTCCAGAAGTGAGCAAAACTGACTCAACTGTATGACTGGCCAACACTGGGCTACTGAGAGTGACTGAACTGCCAGACCCCTCCCCCAGGCAGCAAATCCAGTCAGTGCTCTTTTGAAGTTATGCTGTGACACATTATACCTGTATTTACATATACAGCCATGCTCCACAAGATGAAACTTAACTTCTGACATGGCAATGATGCACTGTTTCTCAAGTACAATGTTTGATACTTTCCTTTATAAGAGATAACATGTTGATATATTTTTTAAAATAAAAAAAAATCACTTCTGTCTAATTTGGTGCTCCTTAAAGCCTGAAACCCTAGGTGATTGCCTAATTCCCCTATATGATCCAGCTGGCCCTGCCTGGATCTGAGCCAGCTTTGTCAGATTTGGTTCTAAATCTAAAACCCAAAGGAAACAGCTTTCCATTTCCAAGTTGGATATGATTGCACAAATAGTTTACACGATTGGCCACTCCAAACAGAAACCTCACTCCCAGCTCCAAATTAAACTTGTCTGGATCTCTACCTACACACTAGATTGTCAACTCAGCTCTAGTCATAATCACAATCCAACTGTATCATTCAAAAAGCTAAAACCTTTAAAATGTTTTGAACTTCTGTAACTCTTCATTTTGATATTCAATTGTCGGAGATGAACCAGAACCATTTAGCCATGCCCCCAGAACTTTGATGGCTTAGATGAAATAGGATCTAAATGTAAGCCACCCCAATTTTGGTTTTGCAAAACAAAATCCTTACTAAGGTTTTGCTAAATCTGAATGAAAATCACACCCGCTCCATTTTGCCCATATTCCTGTAATTAGCCAGAATCAGAGTTTCTGAATTTCTTTGTACAGTCACATAATTAGATATTGCTAAAATCTTGCAATTAGTTGGTGAATGTACCCTTGACATACTATGGAAGTCACGTGGGCCAGAACTGTCCTTTGCTTACTGCAGGATTAGGAATAATACTGAACAGTCTGAACTTTTTCCCTTGAGATTCCTGATTTTAGGATTTTAAATGACTCATTAAAAGTTTCTCTCATTCCACAACAGGAAGACAAGCAGGCAACATCTCCATGTGGTGGTGCTTTCCCATGGTCAAGGAAGTCCAACCTTGATTACTTATCATTGGATTTTAATTCTGCTTCCCCATCCCCTGTACAGAAGGTAAGAATCATTTATGCAAATCCCACCATTTATTGTACATCCTGATTTCTCTTTCTGATGGAGGCAACAGGATCTTATTGAAGGCAAAAAAATATTTATCCTTGCTCTGGGATGGAGTTAACCCCTAGAGCATGTTTTCGTATCTCACTGTGCTGAGGCTGGGTGACAAGGTGAAAGATGGATAAAAACAGACTGCAAAGCAATGCTCTTGTCAGCTGATGTTACTGTATCTTCAAGGTGAAGCAAAATGACCAGAAAAGAAAGAAAAGGAGGACTAGGGGAGAAAAAACAGTTTTACTAGCATCCATGTTCTCTCTCGTGTAAAACAATTGTTTCTTTCTCTACCTTAC